CGTTTCGAGTGTTCGATGCATGGCAACAACACCCACAATTTAGGAAGGCGGTGGAGGACAAATGGAAGGAATTAAATGTGGAAGGGTATGCTGGATACAAATGCTTGAATAAGCTAAAGAGATTAAAAGAATTCCTAAAAGGCTGGAATAAAGAGGTGTTCGGGAACATGGAAGCACAATTCAAAAATGTTGCTGAAAAAGTTGAGAAGATTGATTTGAAAAACGAAATGGTGGATCTGGAGAGAAGCGAGGTGAAACAAAGGAAAGAAGGCTTTCAGCAGATATGGGACATGTTGAGGGTGAGAGAGGCTATTTGGAAGCAAAAATCAAGAAGCAAATGAGTTAAGTTGGGGGACCAGAATACCAAATACTTCCACAAGGTTGCAAATGGGAGAAAGACACTTAATAGCATCCAGGGAATAATGAGTGATGGTCACTGGGTAGAGGAACCAGCTATGGTTAAGAAAGAGGTGATGTCGTACTTCCGCAAGATGTTTAAAGAAGATCCATGGGATCGGCCAAAGCCTTCAAATATTGATTTCAAGAAAATTTCTGAGGAGCAGATGGTTTGGCTTGAGAGACCCTTCTCTGTTGAGGAGATTGAAGAAGGATTGAAGAGCTGCGATGGAAGTAAAGCCCCGGGGCCTGACGGGTATAACCTTAACTTCCTCAAATTTTTCTGGAATAGCATTAAGGATGATTTTGTTGCATTTTTTCATGAATTTCATCAAAGTTGTAAACTAGTAAAGGGGCTGAACTCTTCTTTCCTTACGCTAATTCCGAAAAAGATGAATCCTAGGGAATTGAAAGACTTTAGGCCTATTAGTTTGATCGGTTGTGTGTACAAAATACTGTCAAAGGTGCTAGCTAATAGGCTTAAAAACGTTATGTCAGAAATTATCAGTGAAACACAATCTGCTTTCATTGGGGGAAGACAATTAGTTGATAGTGTCTTGGTTTTGAATGAAGTGGTGGATGAGGTTCGGAATAGGAAGACACCAGCTTTTGTTTTTAAGGCAGATTTTCAAAAAGCCTACGATTGTGTTAACTGGACATATCTGGATTGGATGATGGATAGATTTGGTTTTAGAGCCAAATGGAGGGGGTGGATTAAGGAATGCCTCTCAACAGCACGGTGTTCGGTGTTGGTAAATGGCAGCCCAAC